ATACTCCACGGGTTTACAGGCTGAAAATCCAGGAGTGTTCACCTTGGAATCTGCTTTGTGAGCAAACTCAAGTGTGTATGCAAGTGTTGGAACTATAGTCTGTAGTTCAGTTTTACTGAAAATACTGGAGGTAATCAGAGTATATGGCAAGTGTAATGGCTTCCAAACAGAGCACTGTGCTGTTGTTCACAGTGCTGGTGCTGGGTTAGTTGATACAATTTGTGGTCCATGTCTGGAATCACAATCAGATCCTCTTTGCTCTCCCTTCGAGTGCCCTTGCAATGCTCATTACTGCAGCAAATTAGCCAGAGTCTGCTGTGGGGCTGAAGTTTCTGTATCCAGCAAAACTCATGAGCCCCTCCTGGTGTGATGTATCAAGGGGATGTAAGCATATCTGTAAATGCTGTGTGGGTTGGGAAGTGTTTAAATACCCATGGAGGCCTTTCTCTGTTCTGAGGAAGGGAAGAGGAGGATGTGAATACTGATGGAAATAATTTAGGTGCAAGGTCCCAGGTTTGGAAAATTTGGCCCATAAAATGTGTGTGCTAGGGGTGCTTGTGGTTCCATAAGATAACAAAATGCACAAGTCATGTGAATTAATCTCCTGAGTTACTGCAGGGGCATATTGTGTTCACGTTCATGTAGCCTGATTAAGCTGCGTATGAATTTACGTCCCAGCCTTGCAGCCTAATAAACCTATATGGTTTAAAATGCGTGGCGGGGGCTTTGTGCGTAAACTGTGCTCTCATGAAGCATCGTGTGCATGTCTGACTCTTCTTAGAAAGAGTCCCATTCCGTCTGCAAACGAGTGTCTGAATGCCAAAATAAGTAGGATAAATAAATTGCTTCAAATATGTGTTTGGGAGCTTTCAACCTAGATGCTCTCTTCCAAAGCTCAGCTCTTCATTTGCAAATTCTCCGGTTTGTTCAAACTTTTGGACTCCATTTGATCTGGCTGGAAATGAGAGCACATCAGGCCTCGTACGTAATCAGAAAATGTCGTGTGAAAAACGAAGACTGCTGGGAGTAGCATCTTTGTGGGATTCCAGCTAAACCAAACTCGTTCGGTGCTGCTCCAACCCTGAGCAAACCGGCCTCATGTCTGCATGTGCAGCCTGGGCTGCTCCTGAGAGCGGCTCTGGGAAAGAGTTAAGCCTGTTCTCCTCTCCTAGTTGGCAGAAAGTTTGCAGTTTAAAATTACATACTGACTCTGGTGTAGAGACACAAGAAATTATAGAGCAGACACTGTCCAGGACAACGTATAATTTAAAATGTACTAAAGAATGTATACCACATGGCAAAGTAAGTGAAGTGCTTCTTCAAATATAAGTGTTTTGCATAGAAAGGCTGTAATTATCCACTCCTAGGGAAATGTTTGCATTCATTCTAAATCAATATTTACTATTCATCTCTTGTGTTCAACAAAACAAGGATTTAACATTTTTTTGTTTTAATGAGGTACTAAGACTACAATAATGCTAGAGTGTAATTGTCTTGATACAAAATATTGCTAAATTGTGTTGCTATTTTGGGAGTGAGCAGTTTTTAAAAGGAGGGGGTATCCCTGTTTGTGCCATGTTCCTGCAGTAACACAATCCAAGCTCAGCCAAGCAGGGCGGCTCACCACTTCCAAAGTGGAGTTAAGCCGCCTCTCTGTTAAGGCCCTTAACTGGGATCATTCGGGTGAGTCCTCTGTCTCCCCCTGAAAACATCAACCTCTTTATAATGATTCCTTTTCAGCTGGCGTCTCGGCAACAAGCAGAAGAATGCCATTTCTGTTTTGGGTTTAAGGTTGTTTACTCCCCCCATCATCCTTCGGAGAGGCAGCGAGAGCTGAGCGGGTGGTAATTGGGCTGCAGCCATCCCTGCACGCTACTCCAAACCTGTTGGTGCAAATGGGGTTGTCCGAACTTCACCCTCCAGGAAGAATTTGGGGATGTTTTGTAGAGCCAGATCTCTGTTCTTTATCTTTTTTTTTTAATGTATTTTGTATGCATTTCCTGGGCACTGCACAGTGTTGAAGCGGTCCTAAAATCACACAAGGGCAAGCAGTACTTTTAGCAGCAGGACCCTGGTGAAGTAAGGATATGTGAGATGGGGCAGAGCTTTTGGAGGAACACCACTTTTAGTCACAACTTTGCAGCTCTGCTGTGCTGTGATTAAGAGGATGCCCTTGCACCAAGCTCTTTCTCCTTGAATTTACCTGACATGTCTTAACAGAGGTATCTCTCCAACCACTCTAACTTCAAAAAAGAGAAACCACACCCCCTAAGCATGTACTTCTGGCAATGATGTGGCTCCATGTGAATCAAATCAGATAAGTGGAAAGACTTTGTTTGGAAAAGCCTTTAAAATCCTTTTTTTTTTTTTTTTTTTTTTTTTTTTTAAGAAAAACCCTTTACCTTTTATGCTTACACTCTGCCCACCAGGCTCTGCCCTCCCTTTCCCAATACTAAATTCTCCTACTTCTGCTGCTAGAATTCATGGTACAAATGTGAACTCTTGAGTGAATTTCATTCTTCTGTTCAAGAAGATAGCTTTGTTATCTTTTTTGTTTCTTACAATAATAAAAAAAAATAAATCTGAAGTCGTTCCTCCAAAAAAAAAAAAAATCATGTACATAAATAGGGTGAATAGCCCTGAGAGGAGAGTGCTCTCTTTCTCTAGCAAATGTTATTGAAGCTGGTGTTTTAATTCTCCAGATATCTCTTGGTGTTCAGGGTAACAAAAGGCTGTGTAGTGCCTAATCATTCAGCAGAGATCCAGGAAAAAGCAGAAGGTTAAGAGCAAGTTCCTAAAGTCTGTAAAATCAATGGGACGCTAGAAAGGGAACTGAAGTGTACCAGAAGGGACCTCTTGAGGGTCATTAAAAAAAGCAGAAACTGATTATGAACAGAGCTTTTACCCGAAGAACTGGAGGGGGCCGGCAAAACCATTCTGCTGCACTCCAGTTAAATGTCTAATAGTGGTGACATTTTCTACACAGCCCATAAAGGATAATGAGGATGGCTTTGATAGCTTTCAAGATAGTTGTTCTTGTCAGTGTTCACAAAAACATGATCTGAGCATGCACTCAGAGCACCCGGGTTGAGGTGACTGCACGTAGACTTTGAAAGGGAAGATGGCAACGCAATATTGGGCATTCCACCTTTGTGTTATGCCCTATCTGTTGCACAGGAGAAAAAAAAACTGTGTCAACCTAAAAATACAATGGAAATGGCAACAGTGTCAAAGCTCAGTGTTGTGCTTAACTAACATGGCACCTCACCTTGGTGTGATGGTTATGTGCAGAGAGGTAGCGATGCTGGGCGATCTCACAAACATCAGCCTAGATTCTCTCTCACTCCCAAGTAGATGAGAAATAAGATTTTAATCTAAAGCTTATCATAATCCATCATTGTCAGCAAAATTTGGATCATCCCCTAATGACTTCCTCATTTTCTGTGCTGGGAAAGCAACCTGCAGGCAACCTGCCTGTCCCATGGCATGTTTGTGCTATTCCTGCTTTTGACCCTGATCCATGAGATTTTGGTGAATCACAGTTTTACTATGATTTATTTTCCAAAACAAAAGAAAAATTAGGGTAAACTTGCATATCTTCCTGAAATGCTCTAAAAAAATTTTTTGTTAGAAAATGTTTGAAATGTCAGTGAGATGATGCTTTAAAAGTTTAGGGTGATCTCGTTCATCTTAATAAGTAGCTGGTTCATTTTTGGTTTTGGTCTACAGGGAAGATGTGTGGAAAAAAATAACAGAAACATTTAGAGTAAAAATCAAGTTTGAGTTCTTTGTAAGAAACAAACCTTTTTTTTAATGGAAATAGACATTCATGGGGTGAATTGCATGTGAGTCTGTTTACTAGTGGTAAAGCTGAATTGTGAAACTTTTGTGTCACTGCTCTGTGATTCCAACTATCTTCAATTAAGAGAAAAAAAAATACAGGAAAATCAGGTGAAAGGAATGCATGGAAATTGAAGTCAAAGAAAATATTTGTTGTGGTCTTGGCAAAGCGAATTTTTTAAGCTGAAGTAGCTTTTAAGCAATTAGTATCTGCTGAGTGAAATTACCGAGTGACATGCAGCCCCAGATGGAGGACTTGAACAGCCAGTGGCCATCTGGATTTTGGTCTTTACAGGGTACACTCCGTTCTGGCTCTCACCTGGCCTGTGAACAGCCCTCCATCTGTCTCTCCTGCCACCGTCAGCCTTGAGTCATAGTGGGGAGACCGGTGGGGATGGTTCCTCTGCTCATATCAACTCCAAAGATTCCTGAAGTCTCCAGAGATATAATCACTGATGACTTTTGACCCTTGAGTTGTTGCCTTGATCTAGTTTTCCGAAAGGAGGAAAACTTAC